TTCAATCGATGTATAACTGCGGTTGAAAGACGGCTGTCTCTAATTATTGAAATAAAAAAATACTGGCGCAGGATGGAAAATGCCCTGAACAAACCTGGGAATATAGTTTGGCGTCCACTCAGGTTCCCGACGACGCATTCGAATGCACTGGCGTTGAAGTGTTGATTTCTTGGACGAAAGAAGTGTATGAAAAGTTACGCCTTTCATCTCAGGATATTTCGCTGTTTTTTTCTTTTTAATCGAACCCCAGGAATAGCCTATGGCACTACAATACCAGTTAACCATTTTAACCAATTCTTGCAAAACGTTTGTAAAAAAATAAGACTTCGGCAACAGTAACTACTAGTATATTGCTTACAGCAGACGCCGCTCAAATTCAACCCCACCACGAACGTTGAACGGACTGTCATCCGGGTACTTTGAGAACGCCCTCTATAGAATTTCGTGAGAAAAATAGTAACTCTGAAATTAGGAATTAGTTTCGCTGTATATGTAGTCCAAACCTTGTTTTGCTTTCCTGCAAGTTTTGCCATACTTGATTGGGAATTGGACATTAAATCATGTATGGTAACTATAATTGTGCAAGACTAGTATGTATACTGACAGCCATGTTTAGGGGATGTAACATTGCTTTGTTATTAGACTGGCACAGTCTGGGCGAAATGGAGGCGTTACCGCAAAATCCCCTTTAACCGCGAAATTTTGCAAAATTATTTTTTCCAATTTTTTTTTTTTATTGTCATTTAAATGAAAAAAAGTCATCACAGCTGGGCCAGTCTACTTTGTCATGAATGCTTCTAACAAACATTGCATTGTAAGATACTTTCATGAATGGAATGGGGGGGGGGGGCATTGTGCAGCAGAAAACATTTTAATTTCAAGTTAAAATGAACCAAATCAAGTTTTTTGGCACAAACTCAATGGTTGGTAGAACCTTTTGTGTTGAAGTTCAAGATGCATATTGACCAGTGCTGTATACGTGTACAATGCAAACACTTAAAATCAACACAAATTCACAAAATTTTCATTTAAAAAAATTATTTTTAAACACAGAATACATCATAATTATTTAAAAAGTTACATCTCACATATAGTAACTTTTCTTTTGTGACACAAAACATCTGCAATTTTTACTTTTAAAATATCCTTCATTGAAAATGTCTTTCCACGCTTTTCCCGTCATAGATGTCATTCAAAATGTTTTCTCCTGGTTGTCTTGCTCTCCACTTGTTGCATGCAGTTGTAAATCCGGGTCTTCTAACAAACGTTTCCAGGGATGTAACTAGACTTCTATAACAATAAACTTTCTTGGGATACAACAAGTACTGTACTCTCGACCATTTTGTCCTTTTACCTTTTTGAGTAACACTTCACCACATTGCTTTTAACGTGACCGATGTTGATGTTGTAGAAAGGCAACATGCTGGCACTTTAATAAAACTTTCTTTCCGTTAAACTTGGTTTTAAAACAATCCTCAAATAAATAAACACTATGGCATTTAGCACATACCACATATTGCTTGAATGCGTCTCTGTCAAGTCCCAGAAATTTCCTAATAGTGAACAATCAATCTGATTAAAATCTGATGTAGTGTACGGGCTTTAATTATTTTGGCTATAAACTTATTTTAATTTTATTTTTTATTACTTTTGTTATTAATGCCTTTTTATTTTATTATTTTACTTTGATTTTGATTTTTTTTAATTCCGCCCTACATACATCTGATCCGACGCCTACGTAAGTCCTGTTCAAATCTCGCGTAAGTAACAGCCAATCACAGGCCCCCTTTTATACAGGCTGTCGGTTGCTTACTTTTCAGTGTAGCGATACTCTACGGGCAATCTTTCTGTACATTATATTTTGCCCACTTGAATAAACCATTAATAGAAAATTGCTAGTATATTTTTATTTACGAAAGAAATTCTACAGCATTTTACAATTTTTGTCATTACATTGAATATTTTGTTCACTTCCAACAAATGTGTACACTTCCTGATACATCTTCGCCAGCCAAGGTTCGTTTATTCAGTCCTCGCTTCAAT